GTGTGTGTGTGTGTGTGTGTGTGTGTGTAAAAACAGACTCATACATTTTGGGAGTGGTGTTCCCTGGGTTGTTCCCAATGCTTACTTCTCTCCCTCTCTCTCCTGGGAATGCTTTCGCTGACTCAATTATTCATGTGTTCAAATTAATGGTGGTCTCTTTCTCTGTGCTGCCACTGTGTAAATGAAAGAGGGGATTTCTTTCATCTGCCGTGACCTTGTGTGTGTGTAAACTGTGTCTAATGTGTGATTTTTTTTAACTTGACGATACACATTTGCTGTTTGTGTTCGGTTGTTTTCCTCAAACACAACCAACACATTGGTTTCAGTTCTGTAAGAGACGATCCTACAGTCGGTGGTGTTCGGTCGGGTTCTGTCCGTCACCTCTGTCAGTTAGTGATGAGTAAGTGTAGGTCCTCACTGGTTGGTTGTCATTGCAGTTTTTCTTGTTTCCTTTGGCTCAGTTCTCAAATGACAGCATAAGTCATGAAGCCGTTACGCAAAATACTTCAGCATTAACACCAAACGCATTTAAATTCAAAACATTAAAAGAACAAACCACACCATGGAAACTAAGTGCATCAGCTGAAATTCAAATCTTCATTCTTTTCAAGACTTAATATGTCCACTTTTAGTTTTAGAGACGTACCTAATCCTCCTCAGCATGGAGGATACCAGTGTTACACAAATTCATGGACAGTCAGGTGATACACCTGGCCAAGACAGAGTTTTCACTTTTTCCTTTTTTAGAAAATCTTGTGTGATTTTGGCAGTGTGCTTTGGATCATTATCATTCTGGAATATTCCTCTTCTGCCAAGTTTCTGGAGTATTTTGGTAGATCCACAGGCACTCATGATACCATTACTAAGTGTCTACATTCATGCAGGACCATATCATCACACTCCCACACCTATACTTGACTGTCGGTACTATGCATTCACTTTGCTGGTCCTGGCCAGGCTCATACCAAACATGTCAGCGAGGAAGGGTGTTTTTTTCTCTCTTTTTTTTTTGGATGGTATCCATAGATGTCATTGACATTATGAACTGTTCTTTACACTGTCTGAGCTGTCACAGAAACTCAGACCCATTAATAACCCTTGTACCATGTCTTAATGATAGATTGTGCAATAGTTTCAAGGACCTTTGAAATACAAGCTGGTTAAAAGCCCAACCAGGAATGGGAGTTGAAGATTAGCTTAATGCTATACACTGTATATGCTGTACATCAGGTGTTTTCTATGTTAAATGCATGGTCCCTGATCAAATAAACAAATAAATAAAAAATAGTGGGCTGCAAGGTGGAGCGGTGGATAGCACTGTTGCCTCGCAGCAAGAAGGTCGCCGGTTCGCGTCCAATTGAAGACACCCGGGATCTTTCTGCGTGGAATTTGCATGTTCTCCACGTGCATCGTCTCTCCGGGTTCTCCGGCTTCCTCCAAAAACATCCATCCATCCATCCATCATCTATACACCGCTTAATCCTCACTAGGGTCGCAGAGGGACTGGAGTCTATCCCAGCCGACTTAGGGTGACACCCTGGACAGATCGCTACACTTACAGACAGACAACCAAGCACACTCACATTCACACCTACGAACAATTTAGAATCACCAATTAACCTCAGCATGTTTTTGGACTGTGTGAGAGGAAGCTGGAGAGAACCCACGCTGCACGGGAGAGAACATCCAAACTCCACACAGAAAGATTCCGGTGCCCCTACCGGGATGCGAACCGGCAACCTTCTTGCTGCGAGGCAACAGTGTTACCAACCAAAACATCCAAAAACATGTTGAGGTTAATTGGTGATTCTAAATTGTCCGTAGGTGTGAATGTGAGTGTGCTTGGTTGTCTGTCTCTAAGTGTAGCCCTGTGATAGACTGGTTACCTGTCCAGGGTGGATGGAGGTATACTCAATTTAATGTCAGTGATGACAGGTAAGTCATTTTATCTCAAATCATAAAATTTTTAGAACGACATCTGCTTAACCATTTCATATTTCCTGAAAATATTATAGGATAAGATGTGGATATTTATTAGGATGATCGTGACATTTTACCTTCATATATAAAATAGTTTCCGATATATATATACATAGACATATACATATATATATTTATTTATTTTCAATTTGCCCGTCATTCCACTTTCGGCACATTTTTTGTGTGCATTGAAATGTAGTGCTATGTTTGGATGGCAATATCCCAGAAACTATTGAAGATAAAAGCCTGAAACTGTTATTTCTCATCATACCACTAATTCAGAAATTGATGCCTCAAACATAGACTTAAATTTTAATATGTGAAAAAATGTGCTACATGTGGGTTTATCTTGAAAAGTGCTTGATATATTTGTGTTAATTTTCAGAGATACAATTTTAAATATATACAGTTTATTATCAAAAAGTTTCAAGCAAACCAGAGCTTGTCGACCAGAATGCCCCTGATGGTTTGAGATGGGACGACCCAAGTTTTTTTTTAACTTGGGTGTCAGTGACCACAGATGTATTCATGTTTGTTGCACTTTATTTAGCAGTTTTTTTAGGGTCTGTATTTTGACATTTACTTTTTTTGGCTTATGGTATAGCAGAAACCTTTGCACTGCTAAAAGCAACCCTTTTGCAAAGGCTCTCTCTTTAGCATCATCCTCAAATGGTTCAACATAAAACATTTATGGTGCTACAAATATCACTGTCCCACAGTGACAGTGACAGTTTCAAACCCTTTTTAGAAACAATAGTGAGGTCAGATTTGTATAAAAGTAAAAGCTAGCTAAAAGAAAAGAATATGCATATGACCTATTTATAAATCTGCTACAATGTCAACTAGTCAGTGTACAGCTTGTACAACTGTACATTTACTGTCCCCTCAAAATAACTCAATACACAGCCGAATTTTTAATATCTAATGAAAACAAGTATCATTATGTCGGTCAAGATATCGAAGTGATTTGTGGATCCATCAGTAATCCCTATGCACCCACCAATCACATAGCAGGGGGATCAAGTGTTTTAAACAAAGAAAAGTGCACTAAAGAGTCCAGACCTCTGCCAAGGACAATACCCGAGTTCCACATGGCCAGACGAGGCTGTATCTCACAAGTTCATGAGAAAACCTTTCCACCATGCTGTATACAACGGAAGCAAAAGAGGAGGAGTTTTGAGGAAGATCCCTGAAAAATGCTGTCAGGTGGTTTATAAAGGTGGGAAATTTGAGAGTTGGTTCAGTCAGCAAAGGATATTGTTGCCATCAAATGTACATCATTAGATGTGTATCACATTAATATTCCTGCACCTCGATCTATACTATTTGGAGGAAGTTGATAATCAAAATCAGGTTTATAAATCAGAGTGGCATTGGTGGTACCATTGA